TGGCATGCCATCAAAGTTGGCCATTTTGGATCGAATGTCAAACTCTGATGCCATTTCTAGGCCTTGTAACTCCTTGTAGGGAATTAATCAGAATGACTTACAAATTGGTGAGCACATTCTAAAGACCTCCAGGATTAAAAGTTGTGCTCCTCATGAATATGAATGAAATGGCGTGTCTGTGGTGTGGCGTGAAATTACATTTCGCCACGATATAGGAATTGTTTAATGTCAAATGTGAGTTTAATGTCGAACTGTGATGCCATTTCAAGCTATTTCTGGGCTTCTATTTTAACAAACTCCTGTTAGGAAATTGATCAGATTGGTCAGTACAGTCAATAAAAATTATTATTAAAATTTGTGCTATTTGTGACTGTACTTCAGTGTACATGGTCCAATCTCCACTTAACTTCATAAATTTGATAAGAGTCCCGCCCTGAACACATCTACATGACAATATTCACATATAGTGATAGCGCCACCTACTGGCAACAGGAAGTAAGCTTTATATGGCGATTGTGATGTGATTTCTGTGAAATTTTTATAGCTTGGTGTTCCCATGATGTACTGGTGCGTAACCCCAGCAGAGCACCCCTGACGTGCACCGAGTGTGAGGGACCGTTAATCACTGCTTGCAGTTTTAATTTTCGTTGAGTCTGTCCAGCGCACACCGCACAGAACTCAGATCAAACTGTCAAACTAGTAGTGCTAATGAAATACAAAGCAAGATTCTATTGTAGCATATTGTTCAATTTGTAATATGAGATTGTGTGTGACAGACAAGTCAAAACTGCACAGCCAATAAGAGTAGCTCAACGTGCAGCACGTCACCTTCGCTGGCTCCAACAACCTGTAATGGTGACGACCAAACTCCAGGCTTCAAAACTACTCCCCAAACCAATGGGTGTTGTCACGATAGGCTCAGCAACAACACTATGAAGTCAAGACTCTGGAAAGCTGCACAGTCGCTGGACCCACCTTTCTGTTTGTGTACAGTTTGTGTATTTTATGTACTTTGGACAAGGCCAGGCTAGCTGTTTACCCCTGCCTCCAGTCTTTATGATAAGCTAGACTAACCACATCCTGAGTCCAGTTAAGAACTATGAACTATGCCCATTGACAATATATATACTGGACAGAGCTTCCGGGTCTGTGAACTGAAACTGACAAGGAAGTCTTGAACCTGCATTTTATGTAATGGCAAGCAGGGGACAACTCAATTGGCTGTAATAAAAGACAGATAACATGCAGTCTCATGGAGAAATGACGCTACAGTGCTGATCAAAGATGAATCAAGATTCTGTTACTGCATTGCCTATTTCTTGGCTGAAACTTATTTTAGTGTACTGTTTATCTAGAATATGAGACTGTGTGATGAGGCGAGCCACCATTGTTTCCTTCCACAGACGAGTCAAAATTGCACAGCCAATGAGAACAGCCCAACTCACAGTACGTTACCTCCATCTCCCGTTACCTGGAGATGCTTCATGAGTCTGTTATTATGCTCTAAGATTTGAAGAGGCTGGATAGCCTTTTTAATGGTTAAAGTGTAATTACATGTGGCTTACATTAATATGTGGGTTATGATGACTGGAGCTGATCCGACTGGTTCCACATGAAGTCTTCATTACTAAAGACAGTTTCCTCAAAATTTGCAGCAGCAGCTTATTCAGATAGGTTTGCATTCTACCCAGTACCCATTTTAGTGTGTTGTCACACAGCTAATAAAAACATAAGAGTGAACATTTGGCTGGTAGAAGAGCGCCTCTGTGGCAGGAAATAAGGAGAAGGTAACTTTGACTTCAACCAGCAGCTTGAGGGAGAAACTGTGCACTGTAAATCAACAATTATTTTGCCAGTGAGCAAGGAAAATCTGGGTTTACTTATGTAACTGTTCTCCACTGGCTTTCTCTGTTTTATTACTGACAATTTAGGGACAAACCCTCTGTTTGTTTTGGCTAATCTCATCATACAGATTCATTATATTCAAAAGCACAACATTTTGAATATTTTGGTTGCTGGCAGTTGAGAGATGACAGGAAGTGGGGGATGATGCAATGACACACACCTCTATTTCCACTAGGATGCCCCATTAAAAGATAGAGGGTAAAGACAGTAAATCACAGTTTGCAGACCAACTTCCTGCTTCATCTTTGAGCTACTGTACTTACTGCTTTTGTGCACATTGCTGTGGTTTCAGTTATTAACTTGGTGAGTACAATATTCTTAAAAGAAATGTGTAGAAATAATGGCCAAAACTATGAAAATAAGAGCCATATTGTAATGAGTGGAATAGTTCTTTAAAGGTTTGTAGGTTCTGTGGTAAGCAGAGTTGTTTGTTTGGACTTTACCTGTGAAGCAGCACCATCTTACTCCTGTGCATCTCCCTCCTCTAGGTGGCACCAGACTTCTTTGAGTATTTCCGAGCCCTCTACCCGATCTTGAGTTCTGACCCCACCCTGTGGTGTGTCTCTGCATGGAACGATAATGGCAGAGATGCCTTGGTGGATCCATCCAAAGCCGAGCTCCTCTACAGAACAGACTTTTTCCCCGGTCTGGGCTGGATGCTACTGAAAGAGATGTGGGACGAACTGGAAGTCAAGTGGCCCTCCGCCTTCTGGGACGATTGGATGCGTCAACCGGAGCAGCGCAAGGACCGCTCCTGCATCCGGCCGGAAATATCCCGGACTATCACCTTTGGCCGGAAAGGCGTCAGTTTAGGTCAATTCTTTGACCAGTACCTTCGCTATATTAAGCTAAACACTGATTTTGTGCCTTTTACCAAACAGGATTTGTCTTTTTTGCTAAAAGAGAAGTATGATGAAAAGTTTATCAAGGAGGTTTACAGTGCCCCACTGGTGAAGATTGAGGACCTACAGCAAGGGGGCAGCTTAAGAGGCCCTGGACCGTACAGGGTTCAGTACTCCAGCCGGGACAGTTTTAAAGTCTTTGCTCGAAATCTTGGGGTGATGGACGACCTGAAATCTGGAGTTCCCCGTACAGGTTACAGGGGCATAGTCAGTTTCCTGTACCGGGGTCGAAGACTGTTCTTGGCTCCACCAGAGGGCTGGACGCAGTATGACACCAGCTGGAGCTGAGAGACTGATCTAGACTGGACAGTGTGAATGGTGTTGAAGAGGGGAGAGAGCCTTACTTACGGGAACACCCTCTAAGACCAAAGAATATCAGCAGACACAGTGATTCATGAAGGAATGAAAGCAGCACAGATGGGGCTACAAGCCTGTTTGTTAGGGAAAAATAGGGTGCTGATTGGATCAGCAAGTTCAACGACCACAGACTTTACAGAGAGTTCTGAAAGGAAAATTCCACCCTCAAACACTGTTTCAAAGCAGCTAGTGGCAACGTGCCTTGCTTTCTGGTCCCATTTTGTTTGGTGTATTTTTTTATTCCTGTGAATAACTGGCCAAACGTAGACTTAACATCACATTAAGATGTTTGCAGCAGATGTAAATGGAGTTTGGTAGCAGAAAATAATGTGAATTGTCAACAGCAAGAGCATGTTTCAGTGTTTGTGATAATACACTGGAAGCCAAACACAAGCACTGTGATCTTCTCTAAAGCTTGGGAGAAAAAAACAGTGTTATATATAAAATCTTGGGCCATGTTTTTTTTTTTTTTTTTCTTTTCATTTAGTAAAGTTTTTGAAAGAAGCTGCTGAAATTGATCCAGCTTTGCAGATCATGTTGCTGTTTGTCTATAAAACTAACCAGAAGCAGAGCTGTGTGCAAAGAAAAATGAGTTCTTCTACAGTGTTTTAGGTGGTAAACAAAGTCATTATATGAAGCCCTGATGGTTGACATTAAAGATGAAAGGCCTCTTCAGCAATGATACAGAGGGAAGGATTTGCAGAGGAAGCAGAGATACCTCCCAAACTATAGTAGCCCTGATCCAGGACCAACAAACTATGTATCAGTCCTGCTTTGCTATCTCCTGGAACATTTCACTGAGCGTCTCATAAAATTTGTAACAGGAAGAAAGTCGAAAATAATTAACCAGATTGTGAGAGACTTATTAGGTGAGGACAGATGATGTTAGGCGGGTTCAAAATAATCAAAAACACGATTTGACCAAGAATGGTCTCATCTATTGAAGTCAGAACAAACCATGTAGAATTTCTTTTTGTCACTCACTGACGGGAGGGCTGAGAACAATTTTATGTTGTGGTATTGCTGTAAAATACCTTCCATCTACAGCCAGTGATAGCACTGAGAATACTGCTGCTGATTAGTACTCCAATTGATGAGCAAGAAAACCCATCTTTGACTTTACATGGTTAGTATTGACTAACGGAAGAGACTTTTCTTGGTTGAAGTATATCATGTTTTTTCTTACTTTACACACGCCTGTTGTTGCTCAAGATTAGTTTGAAGTTGCCAGAAAAGAACACCAAGAACTTAATAAGTGTAATAGTGTGGGAGGAGCAAGGGTGGAGTTTTTCTTTAATAATCAGGGTCGCTGTTCTTAGATCAGTTTATAAACATGGCCTTGAAAGCATTGCGACACACAACACTAAATCGAAGCAGTCAGAGGATCTCGGTGATAAGGCCTCTGTGTGCTTTGTATTAAGTAGGTCGGACCACATTTAAAGGCAATGATTTAAAAGGACCAGCGTGTTGGATTTAGGGGCATCTAGTGGTGAAGTTGCAGATTGCAAACAACTTAATACTGCTCAATCTTCCAAGCAAGTAGGAGAAACTACAGTGGCTGTGAAAAATATGAAAATCCCTATCTAGAGCCAGTGTTTGTGGCGGACTGTGTAGAAGAGGACCCGCTCCTTCTGTAGATAACAGTTTATTCAAAAGCAAGGAAAACACAGCAACGCTAATATTCTGGTAATTATACACTAATGAAAACATACTTATGAATATTATATTTCATTTCTGACGATAGATCCTCCTACATGTTACACACTCAACCTATTCCAAAGGGAGTACACTCAACTCACGTGAAAAAGCTTCCTTGTCTTTGTAGTCTCAACAAAATTGACCTTTCCTAAGTCCGGCCCATCTTTGTTGTGTGCTCCAATAACAGTTGAGCAAAGCTCGGGAAGAACTGTGGTCATCTTTCACCCTTTCCTGTAGCACATAGCATATCTATGTTGAAAAGAACCACATTTTGAGGATGGCTTAAAGATATAAGCGACATATTGTCACATCTAAAGTTAGCAAATTTTAGCAAAACACTAGCTAATCTACATTAGTCGTTACCTAGCTAATTACATCTGATAGCTAATGTTTACCATCTTAAAAACATTTGTGGTGTTGCACTCGGTGGCACAAGTTGTTAGTATGTAAAGAATGAAAAAAGAGCTTGAGAAGTTCAAACCCCACTGAATTTCACTCCATGCACCTGCCAGATCACTATGTAAAGCGGTGTGATTGACGGCTTGTCTGTTTAACTAAACTGTCAGACGCAGCTCCCTCAATTCCTCTGTGGAAAAGGTTTTCAGACAACACCTTGTTTAAAGCATACTGAGGCCTTTATTGTTGATTTCCTGCTCATGCTGGTCTTACCAGGCCTTTAATTATTTTTTTTGTAATGTAATATTTTTAATGTTTGTGTAGCTGAGTTCAAACTCCATCAATGAGAAGGTTAAGGAGAATTGCTTTAAGGAAGGATATTATTAATTCTGCAACTCCCTTCTGCTTTCAGAGGGCTAAATAATCGGGATTTCCACCTCTTTCCATTTCATGTGAGTGAACTTGGTATCTAAATGTGTAGAAGGAAATTGTTAATATGAAGGATTGAACTATAATGATAAGGCTATTTTTGAAAGTATGTAACTGTCTTCAACTTGAAATTCTAACAAGATGTCCAAGCTGCAAATGAGATTGAAACATGACTGATCCTGACATTTTACTGACGATCATCCTGAAGCCCTGATATGGGCGAGTTGTAATTAAATAACTTCCAAACCACAGTTTGGTCAGCTTAGGTTTGTTGAAAAACCACAGATTGATTTGTTTCTGCAACAAGAAGGCTGGGAAGTGGATAAATGATTATCACTGTACTGTAATTAGCTTTGGGAGATTATCCACAAGATTGAGTGATTCCCATGTCTGTATGGTGATGTGTACAACCACTGCCTGATGTGTTTATAACTTTAATACAGTATAAATAAAATAAAACTATTTTGATATTTGTCAATATGCTGAAGGAGTCACTCTTTCATTGACAGCAGTCATTCAGCTGTGTTGAACATTGACTCGTGTCATATTCATGTTTGTCCATTTTGAAGAAGATATACACTTTATTGATCCCCTAGGGGAAATTGTTCTTTTCACTCTTCTTTTTTAATACACACACACAGGCTGAAATACACACTTTCATGCACTTGTGGACATGCAAACAGGGAGAGAGATGGTGGAGTGATGGGGCTGCAACGTTAACAGCGCCCATGAGCAGGCTTGGGGTTAGGTTGCCTTGC